TTTAATAATCTATCGAGAAAGCATTGGAATTTTATTTAAGTTGTTTAATATTTTTATTTTTTTAATATTTATATCCTTGCTCTAATATATAATAAAATACAATATTTATATTATAGTTATATATATATATTATCAATATCATAAAGACAAAATAAGTTGTTCATATATAGTAGCATATAATATACACACAAACAAATTTCGTTGAAACCGGTTCGTGTGTTTTACACATACCTATAGCTGACTAATTAAAAAGTGTTTGAAATATTTATTGTAAATACAATTTACATTGACCTTAAGTGGCAATAATATTTGTTGTAATTAGTGAAGTAAATATGTGTACATTGTGTATTATTATTATTATTATTATTATTGTTATTTCGTTCGTACCTATGTATTGGACCTAGAAGTTGCACATATTTTTCATAAATGATAATTTAATTGACTTTAGCACCTTGTTATACACACGTGATGGATTATGTGTAAAGAATAAAATATGATTTATGAAAAAATATACTGCGATTTTTTCCCCCGGGATATGTCTATAAGTATATATGAATATATAAATAACCTGTGCATATTTTTAGTTGTTATATATGCAACGTAATAGCGGCTTTTATACAAAGTTTCATGCCTGATAATAGATTTTTTTTCTCGTCATTTAATGTGTTGGTAGATAGGTCCACGTTCGCATCATTATATATTATATATTATAATGCGTATCCGTTTTTTAAAACGATAATTAATAATATTTTCTAAACATGGGCCCTCGTATAAATGCACTTAAAAAATTTCAGTTCGATAAATCTGACGTCAAGTGAAAAAATAATACCTAGTGGTGGATTATACAAACAGTTAGGTACTCATTATCTTTCTTAGTGTTTAACAAGAGCCATACGATAAAAGATAGGTATAGTTATAACTAAAAACACATATAAACACGGGATAAATAATAATTAAGGATAACTTTATTAATTTATCTCTTTGCAGATGCTAAGAGATATAATTTGTCTACATAAATTTATACATCGTATTATACATAATCTGTCTATATAAATGTATGTTATTTTGTTTCTTTGGTTTTTAAAGATTCAAAAACTACTGTACCTTTTTAAATAAAATGTATATCAATAAATTCCATAAATCATGGAAGGCTTATATTTTCAACCTTTATTAGTTGCGGTAGGACGACACTCATATGAATTTAGTTTTGACTCACAAAAAGCGATTATTTTTTTTTTTGTTTATTTAAATATTTTCCGTTGTTTACAGATTGTATTATTATTATTATTATTATTAGTAAAATATTGAGTTTAGAAATTCTTATCAATAGTATCTTAAAATCAGATTTTAAACATTTGTTGAATATTTTCTTTTTTTTTTGTAGTGTTTATACATTAAAAAGTGAAAAATTATAAAAACTATCATCGTAACTGTGTTTGTCTTAAATATTTTTACTGAAATAAAACGAAAAACAATAGAAAGATAGATTGATTATAGTCGGGCGAAATCGGTTTTATAGCTAGTTATTTATATGCATAATAGAAACATTGAATATTAGATAATAGTAGTATATTATAATATTATAGTGTGTCATACATAAAAATGGTAGTAAATTTAACAAATTATTTATTCAACACATAATACGGCTTTTACAATACATTACATAAAGTAGGTACACATTTGGGTGTGGTGAAATAATCTAAATCTAACAGTCTGAGTATACGCAGAATATACATTATATCAAACAGCTGTATATCGATATTTTCGCGTTGGTTTCGTATATATATATATATATATATATAAATATATATTTAGGTAGTGTTTATGTAGTATGTACACATGGTTTTTTATTTTTATTTTGTCATATACAAGTTATATAAACTATAATACAAAATAAATCATTTTGAAAGTTTTTGACTAAAATTTATGAGATCTAAGATTCGCCTCATTCTATTATTATACCATTACAGTATCTACATGGTAACCTTGATACAAAAGTTCCACTATTTATGGAGATATATCGTCCACATTAGTTTTATTAACACATGTGGTGGTTAGTTTGATGATAAAATATTACATATTATATACCATCGAAATAAACTAATGTTCTCTCGTTATTTATATATGTACTATACTATTATAATATTATATATTTATATTATTACGCACACAACCTATAAAACATTCAAAACGTATGCATTTTGATGGCACGTTGTGTTAAGTGATTAAAATATTGGTAAAGTCTTCTTTTAGTTAACACGGGAGCGGCAGTAACTATATATAGTTGTATAATGTATCGTGTTGTGCAGTTTACCTGCTGCGGCCCACCCACTAATACAGACGACTTATATACCGGCTATGATTTTACCGACATATGATCGTCTCGCGTAAATGGTCAAGATATAAAAATATAAGAATTATTAAATCTATTAAACCTGTGTATTTATTTGTAGGTATAGTTTGATACAAGTTATGAAATATTTGAATGTTCTTTTTTTTAATTTTTTTAGTAAACCATGCAAGTCAAATTAAATTAGATAGAAATAAAACGGGTAAAATGTGGTTAATAAAAAATAAAAATAAATATTTCAGAAAAAGTTGACGGGTGAGTAACAAAACTATATTTTAAAATAAAATCATTTTTTCTACAATGTTGATTTTTTTTTTTTTTATAATAAAATAGTAAATGTCTTAAATAGAGTAATATTATTTACAGTGCATGTTATTATTACCTTGAATAATCATTAATTTTAAATCAAAAAAAAAAAAAAAATGTAAGTTGTTTGAAAGTTTTTACCTTGATAATACGAATTTTTAATTTTTATAACTATTTATTTATTTCTATATTTTCATAATGGTTATAATATATGAAGCATATGTATATTCCTGTGATAAACTAATTTATACTTATGAAAATAAATATTTCCAGTGATTTTGACAAATCAAAATAAAAATGATAAATTTTTTAAATTTCTTTTTTAAAACTACAAATTGTAATTTATTTGCCTATAGAAACAAGAGGTATCCTTAATTTAGAATAAATTATAATAATTAATAACTATTGAAGAATGGACTATAATGAAATTTAAAAAAAACATAATATTTTACATAATTTTATATTCTTATATGTGAATTTGATGTGTTAAACCAATAGGTAATTTTCTCACGCGTGTTTCGCGTCGCTTAATACCTATAATTATTTTGCTCATTGTAAATATATTTGTAAAAAGTATAAATAAATAAAAATAAAATTATATTTTAAAACTATAAAAATTAATAACTGTTTGGTGCCTACATTAAATAAAATGTTTATGTTTTTATATTATTATTGCGTCTATTAAAATGCAAATTACCTTAGAATTTATGTTCATTGCTTCTATAATTTTGTAGAAATCTTTCAGAATAATAATACGCTGTTGTATATTCGAATTAATTTTAAAAGTTGCAAAAGTAGGTTGTATAATCATGTTAAATATTGTTCTTTTTTCATATAGCAGTTAAATATTCCTAGTTAGTTAAATTAGGGTATATGTAGTGTCAGTCTGACTCTCGTAATTTAGTTTTGGAAGTAAACTAATTGTATAACATAAAAGTGTTGATTAACGCACGTTATTAGCGCAGGGCTCAATATAGCCAGTCAACACTACATGCTTTGTGTGTAAGTAATCTATAGGGATATAATTTGGACACTTATTTGTGAATACTTTTAGTATTTTTATTTTTAAACGACACAAACGAATACTGTTACTTTTGCTGACTCCTTGTTATGTATCTCTGTATATGTTTCATTTCTTTACAATAACTATACCTTTACATCATATATGGGAACATATAAATAAATCGTCGGGGGAGACGAATATTATACTGTCTTTGTTTCACTCGATAACAACTTCATTGCCTCAGTACTTATACATTATTTAAGACAGTCATAAGGATATAAAGGAATATAAGTAGGTATTAATTTGGGGAAAGTCCTGAGGCTAATTGTTTTATAATTCATATATCATAATATAAATAACCAAAGGTGTATTATTATCGGCCGATTTTTATAACGAATATTTTTTTATAACTGGCTGTCGATCTCGAATTATTTTGAAACACACGTCCACGCGCAAGACAATTTACATGATACTTGCATTAGTAGGTACAGAGGGTCTTAATACTAACGTAGTATATAGGTATATAAGTATATTATTAAGAAATGCTTTGCACTGATGTAGTCGTTATTTAAATATATTGTCAAGAAAATGAATACACAATCCAATAAAACGTATATAATAATATAATATATAATATACCTATTGATTCTGAAAAATCATACTAAATAACAGAAAACTTTTCCTGATTTTATGATTCATGAAACTTTGTATTGATAATAGTTGAATCAGTGACAAAAAAATACACGAAAATGATTATCAACATTTTTAAAACAAATCTCTGTAATGAATTAGCGTATTTTGTTGCCCTATTTTTTTTATAATCATATTATATCAATGGTTTTTATGTAAACATTTTTATCACCGTTTATTGATGAACTTTGGTATTTTCTAATAGACTATGTTATTACTATATTATTTAGTTTAAGTCTGAGAAGTATAAAAAAAATATTTTTAATTTATTAGTTAATTTAATTTAACTTAATTATTAATTAATATGTATACTGTTTGGTGTTTGATGGTTATCTATGAATAAGTATGTATAATTATGCCTTTTATATTAAAAGCTGCAATTCTTAAAGTTTGAAAAATTAATTTTCATAAATATATTAATTAATGATTTTTATTTACTTTACAGTTTCCCGCAGAGCAAAATAATTTTTAAGTTTATCGATTTTCATTTAAATATTTTATTTGTAATATGAGTTATATACTCGTACAGTATATAATATATTATATATATTATGTGTGGTGGTAAAACAATAATTAATTATAGCTAACTATAGAATTAAAAATATATCGCATCAATATTTTAATTTAAGTATCTTTTTTTATTTTTTTAAGATGGACCAGTATTTTTTCAACAAGACAAATTACGAACATATATAATCAGGTAAGAATTCTCGTAAATCCTTTTAAGACATTAAGTAAAAATAGTGAGTATTTTTATTTGCGTTAACTGTTGGTTCTTAGCCAATAGAGTGGATCTTTTAGAATAAATCTTAGTTTTAAATGATGTTACTTAACAAGAAGATATAGAAGTATAGCAGATCTCTTTTTGAATTTTTTATGGACATGAAATATTTTTAATGATTCTACTATTGCATTGTCACATATGTTTGACTTAGTCTATGTGGAAATGTTAACGACTTTAAAATTATGGTTTTTGAAAAAAAAGTTTATGCTACTACGATTGATATTAATTTATTGTTGTACATTACCGTTATTAATGAAAATGCAAATGTACTATTTGTATATTAGTGTATAGGGAGTGATGGTACCTAATTTTATTACCTATTATAATTCGTTATAACTAACTAATTTAAATAGTGTATATATATTCAAATATGAGGTTTAAGAAGAATTAATAATAATTTTACATAATTAAGATAGTGATTACACGCTTAAATAAAAATAAAATAATAAATAACGAAATATTTTTTTCAAAAACAATAATATCATTATTAATTCATTTAAACATGATATTATTTCGTAAGTTTTTTTATGCTAATTAATTATTTTATTATACAAGGTTATTAGGAAAAATAAGAATTTTAGATGGCCAACATTTATGTTATAAATGTATAATATATTATCATGAACCATGATAGAGCGTGATAATTAATTAATTTTGGTGACGTCGGATATTATAATCAATACCCAGGTACCTATATATACAATTCTTGTCACATTGTGTATTATTTAATATTCTTAGGTGTTAATAATGTTTGTTCCAAGTGTGAATGTAGTAATTTATCAATCGAGAGGCAATGCAAACATTTTATTAAAATATAATATTGTATAGCGTGCCCTTCAGTAAGATCATAGAGCAGTGTGTGTATATTACAATATATGTATGTGATTTTGTTTATAAAACGTTTGAGAAAAAATCCTTCAACCGGTCTGTAATGATCAAAGAGTATAAGTTTAAACGAGATATTTCATATTGCAATATCTTGTTTACTTCGAGAATCAATCACCTGGAAATTAGTTGTGAGATAGCTGTTGGAGGCGGGTGATAGACTAAGCCGACCGCGAGGGCGTACAGGTGAGTGCGTATTCACTAACATTATAAGACAGAATAAACGATACCTGTATGCAAAAAGCTATTAATGTAATATTATTATTCAACAGTTGTTATTTATTTTCAAACAAATCGCTGTGTTTCTTATGTCAAACACGACGGAAATACCGTAACGCGGAAAATCTTTAATACTACGGTGAGATTATTTTTGTATACTTGCAAAAATACACACAGTAAAAGAGGTCGGCCAATCTTGCCAGATGTGTAATTATTCAGTTTGATAGGTTGGAGTATATTTTAGACAAGTCCCGACAGCGCGTCTACGTTTATAATACGTCGGGTGAATTAAGCGAATAGTTTTATTTTGTTATTGTTTTTTTACGATAGATCTGTATACGCAGAACTTCCAAGAATCCGGTTAATTAATATTTTCTGCTATCTTGCGGCGTATGCTGAATAATCGGATAATACAAAAATGACAGCACTTCTAAAGTCAGAGCGTATTATAATACGCAATACGAGTATATGCCTCTATTTATATGTATACACATGATTCACCAAGCATGTTTTCACTCTCATTTATTTATTTTATATAAATGTTGTTAAATCATAGTTTTTTAAATTTTATTTTAAGAGTTTAAGACTCCATTTTCAAATTCTTAAGATTTTATGTGCTAGTTAAGGAGTGAAGAATGCACTTTTCTATTTTTTAAATACAAGCACATCTAACATTCTTTTAAAATTAAATTACTAATTAAATATTTTAAGAACTACTTAATTTTTTTTTTCATTTAAATGAACAACGATTTAGTCGAATTTCGACAAGTCAATATTTTCAGAGAAGCCATCCGCTAAATTATTTTATAGTAAAATAAAAGAGATTGTCTTTTGAAAAACAAAAGTTTGTATCTTCACATGATACTCCTCAAGTAATATAAAAATCTTAGGAGTTTAAAAATTTTCTTTTTAAGAATCTTTAAAAAATTTAAAAATCAGGTTTTGAATAACTGCATTATCGAAGAAGAAAAAAGGTTGAGCTTGTTAGGTGAATCACCATGTATATATATATATATATATATGTGTGTGTGTATATAACGTAAGTACATAAATATTGAATTGTGAACACCGGTAATGAGGGGAGAGGAACGTAAGTCTAAATTTTATAAGTAATATATTAAATGATATTGTGTAAAATGTTTGTAAAAAATTTTTGGTGGTATGTGTTCATAATGGTCCATTTTCGAAATATGAAAGACATAAATCCAGTGGTGGTGGTTTATGCGGTACCATTCATTTCATTGCACGAAGACAAATTTCGTTGGCTCGTGTCCCATCTATAGGCTCAACCCTATCAATTATAGACCTCATCTGTATACACGTCGTAAACTTTGCACGAGTGTATAATAATAAAATACCCATTATAGCTTATAGCTATCCACGCAGTTCGGAGTACATAATAATAATTGTACCGTATATATGTCAACATTATTGTACCGTTAACGTTTATTTTTTAAGTATTCAAAAAGCTTTTCTAAAAAAGTTTTTTTTTATAGTGTTTGGCATATACATTATTTTAAATCGTTGAATATTTACTCAAAATATACTTTTTACATGTATATATTACAACATTGTTGTGCGTGTGGTACAAACGCTGGTATCTTATTCTAAATTCTTGAAAAATACATCCTTAAAATTCAATTATGTGAATGCGTTTTTTTATTATACTCCTAGAACAGAATTCGTAATAACAATGTATATTAATATATCATGTTAAAAATATTTTACGACGTGTTGTCTACAACTTTTTGGCGCTGTAGTATAAGTATACATTGTTATTATTTTCAATTTAAATATATTGTCGTTTTTGTTACAATATATTATAAAGCAATAGTGTTTAAACAAAATGTATAGTTTTACAAATGTTCCAAACATTTTCATAAATATGAACATACATAAGTATTGAATTATTTAAAAAAAAAGATAATCATGATTATTTTACCGTTACAATATCATTCAAGTTAGTTAATATTATACATTACGTTGTCATCACATTTGATTATCACTAAAACTGGTGGTGGTTATTGTTATGATAAAAATATTAATGTTTATTATATTTTTTTATGAGATTTTTAGTTTTTCATTTAATAAGTTAAGTTGATTGATAACGATACAATACATGATAAAGCAATAAAAACGTATTTAATAATATGGTTCGCTGTGATTTACGTCAAGATTTTCCTAATAAGTAATAAATAATAATATACATAATAAACAAATTTTGCTTATACAAGATTAATGATTTATTATTTTAATTAACTATAGTATCTATGGTTAAGCGCGAGAATGTTATATAAATGTTGTTGTTATGATCGTAGTCTGAAAATATTCGAAAATTTATATTTCCTCCCCCTTCAAAAAAACCGAACAAACCACTGTCGCAAAACGTTTGTGTTATTAAACAGAAAAAAAGAAACGGGGTTACAATTGCTGTATTATTACAATTTAAGAGTTCTATACAATATTATACACTACAACTGGAACGATAAAAAATACAAATGACGTTTATATATGTATTTGGCGTTTGTTATTTTTGAACGTTAATCTCAGCTGAGCTGCAGTGAGCGTTACATAATTGAAATCACAGTTTAACCCGGTTTTATTTACCTTTTTTTTGTGATCAAACAACAACAATGTGTCTCTGGTTTATATAGTTATTGGTGTTTACTTAGCGCGTTCCATTAGCGCCGGTATGAGAATTTATTTTCGACCATTTACCATTCTCATCTTAAGCCTATTGTCAAAATCATGTGTAAGGTATTTTCTTTTCTTGGAACCTGCATGCACTCTGCAGCAATCAAATATATTATAGTACACGTCTTGTTGAAAGGTGTTCCTCCTTGTTCGATTACATTATATATTATAATGATAAAGGTTGTCGAGGACGTCCGAGACGTATACAGGTATATATGGGGCATGGACTCCGGTACACACATGTTGCATATTATAATTTAGCTGATGATAATTATTTTTATATATTATAATGAAGTATAAATATGATATTGTACTATATAAGACATGCAATAATAATGTCTAATACATGGTGTGGTTATAACTAATTTTTAACTAATCGAAGGTTAAAACGGTCGGTTAACAAATCATGTAATTGGACGGAAACGGAATTAACTGTTAACTTAACGTCACAGTAGTGGGTTCCCCTGTAATATAATCCAACATCATATGCGTACATAGAATGTAAATTACCCCCGGGCACTTTAATACTACACACATGGCGCTTCAAATATTTTTTTTATTGACGGTATAATCATTATTATTATGTTTTTTGTATACATATAGATTCACAAATTACGTACACAGCCACACAGGTATGTTATACTTGGTCAATATTAGTATTATGAATACGTATCACGTTCGTCATAACACATGTGTTTTCGATTGCGTACAACACACTTTATTAACAATGATGTTGTCTATTTAATAACTACTCGAAAAAACATGTCGACTATAATAAGCTTGAAAAAAATGTATTTATTCCGTTGTTTGAAATTGCATTTTTTTTTTTTTTTTTTTTAGAAATACGCGTTGCTTGTATGTGTAGTAGCATTGCTACTGCGATGTTATTGGTATAATATCTTAATATTATAATTGCCGATGGAATTACATCTACTTTGGTAGTATATAATATATATTATACACCCACCAAAAGAAAAACACTAATCAAAAATTCGTTCGAAATAATCATTTTCTATATTTTAATATCATTATAATATTTACAACGGTATTTCGATCATAAACTATATTGAACAAAATGTAGTAAAAACTTGCTCGGAACACTTAACTATTGAAGCTAG